ATGTCGTGTAGCATTCTTTCGTTTCCTTCAAAGTCTTGATAATTTTGTCGTTAAAATTTTAACAATGAGCTTTGCACTTATTTGCTCCTTCAATTGTCAGAAATATAAATAAAAAAGTCAGTCGATCGGTACTTATTAAATTAGTAACCATAAAAAGTGGGAATTATTGTCAACAAATTTCTTAATTGTTAGATATTTATCAAATGAATGTGTTTCCCGCTGTTATTCCGGCAAATAGTCTTTTTTTCTATTTTGGCCTTCGTTGCCTCTCCCACTTGTATTGGTCTTTTGCTTACTTTGGTTGCGACTTTGCTCTTCGCCTATGGAGTTTGCAATTTTTTGCAAATAATTACAATTTCTCATTTCTTTGTGTTATCAACACTGTTCACCATTGCAATTTGCTTACTCCTTCAGTTATCAATCGTTTAATATGCCGGTCGGTCGTGAATTGTGCTCGTCCATCGTAAATCGTTGAATTAAAGATGGTATTTATGAAAAATCATAACAAAAAGAGTAAAATATTATTGCTCAGGCCCAATATAATGAAAAAGTTGTCAAATAAAAGTGTTTTTAATTGTATTTTATCAGAAAATATAGTTTCATCATGGGATTGCAATTCGTGTTGTTCCTTTGTTTATTAGTTGTTTGGTTCGTGTGTGTAGAAAACAGAGAATCAATCGTGTTGTATTTTTTGTTACCTTCTTCGGCAGTTACTGCTCTGTTTAACTGTGAGCTCTGTGTAGTGTTTTTGAAATGTCTTTTAAATAAGAAATCGAAATTGTAAGAAACTTAACAAATTATTTACTGAAAATATCAACGTAGTAATATCATGTCGTGTAGTATTCTATCGTTTCTTTCAACGTCTTGTTAATTTTGTTTCTCGATTTTTAAGAGTATGAGTCTCAATGAGCATTGCAATTATTTGCTCCTAAAGTTGTCAAAAAAATAATAAAGGCGGTCGGTACCTATTTAATTAATAACCATAAAAGAGGGAATTATAGTCAAGAAAGTTTTTAATTATAAGATTATTATAAAATTAATGTGTTTCCAACAGTTATTTCACAATACTCCTTTTTCCGTTTGCTGACTTTATAGCCTCTCCTACTTCTGATGCTCTCTTGTTTAATTTGGCTGCGCCTTTCCTTTTGGCGTATGATGTTTGCGTTTTTCAGCAAATATCTACGATTTTCAATTTCTTTGTACTGACAACACTGTTCACTATTCCAATTTGCTTCTTCCTTCAGTTGTACATCGTTTAATAAGCCGGTCGGTCGTGAATTGTGCTCGTCCATCGTAAATCGTTTAATTAGAGGTAGTATTTAGAAAAAAATCCACAAAATGTGTAAAATATTGTTGCTCAGTTCCAATATAATAAATAGTTATTAAATAAAAGAGTTTTCTATTGTATTTTATCAGAAAACATAGTTTCTTCATTGGATTGCAATGAGATTGCAATTTGTGTTGTTCCTTTGCATATTAGCTGTTCGGTTCGTGTGTGTGAAGAAGAGAGAATCAATCGTATTGTGCTTTTGTTGTTTCTGCGGCAGTTACGGAACGGTTCAACAATGATCTTAATGTGGTGTGTTTTTGAAATGGCTTTTGAATAGAAATTCAAAATAGCAAGAAATGTGACGTCGTGATAGCATTGGCAAACCAAATTAAAAAAAGGTATCTAAAGGGCCGTTGCAATTTTTTTCCTTCGTTGTAAAAATTAATAAAGGCGTTCGGTCGGAAACTATTTAAAAAAATTAAAAAATGCTATAATGTATGAGTTTCCAGTGGTAATTCGCACAAACAAAAGTGTTTTTCCTGTTTGGCATTCCAAGTCTCACATTCTTTTCTTATTCTCTTGCACAGTTTGTCAACTGCTCTCTCTCTCTCTCTCTTTGGTCCAATCGTTTTGTGATTTTCATCAAATAATTACGATTTTTCATTTCCTTGTACTGACAACACTGTTCGTTATTCCAATTTGTTTCCTCCTTCAGTTGCTCATCGTTTGATATGCCGGTTGGTCGTGAATTGTGCTCGTCAAATGTAAATCGTTGAATTAAAGTAATTTTTTTTATTAAAATTGTATAAAAAAGTGTTATTTCTTGTTGCCGGGACTCTTAATATAGAAATAGTTGTCAAATAAATGTGTTTCCAATTGTATTTTTTAAGAAAATAAAATATCTTCATTGGTTTGCAATGAGATTGCAATTTGTGTTGTCCCTTTGCTTATTAGTTGCTCGGTTCGTGTGTGTGAAGGAGAGAGAATCAATTGTATTGTGTTTTTTGTTGCCTTCTTCGGCAGTTACGTCGTTGTTAAGAGTGATGTCAATGTTGTGAGTTTTTGAAATGTCTTTTGAATAAAAATTATAGATTGCAAGGAATAAAGTGTTTGCTAAAATTATTAACGTCGTAAAATCGTGTCGCGTCCTGCTTGTTCGTTTTGTTCAACGTTGTGATGTGGCTGTTAAGGGTAATGTGTCTCAATGATTATTTCCTGTGATTTTTTGTTGTCAAATGCGGTTGGTCCAATAAAGAGTTTGTCAAATGTTGATCTTGAGGGAAATATTAAATAGAAATTTCAAATAAGTGTGAATTATTGTGATCTACAACTTTATAAAAAATTGTGTATATAAAATATTACATGAACGAGTGCCATGTCGTGTCTCGAAAGTTCGTATCGTTTTGTTTTGCCGGAAATATGTTAAAGAGAATATGTTCTTATTTGTTGTTTTATGAAGATGTCAACTAGTTAAATGTCGGGAAGTCGTTAAAAATAAAATAAATAAAAAAATTAGAGAAAATTAAAAAAGTTGATTAGAAGTGTGTGTGTGTATAAAATGAAAATATCAATATTATGATACGGTGATGATAATGCAGAGTCGGTCGGGTATTTTTTGAAAAAAAAAATTGTCTGTCGTTAAACTTAATTCGCATGTTATGATACGGTAACGATGATGAACAAGAATCAGCCGTATTTATCGCAATTCGTTTGTCGTTAAGATTAATTTGCCTTGGTGTTGTTTTTCTCCGAGTGTTTAACTGAAACTTCAATGCTGCAATATTCTTATTGGACATCATTTAAACGGGATAAAAGCGGCGGAGGCAGTTGTCTAACAGGTAAGTTTTTTAATAGAATAAAAATTTTAAAATTGAATAATTTTCACAAATTTAGTGGTGACCTTCTTATATTTAACACTCACTTATTAACCTACCTTTAAAAATCAGTCCTATTTAGTAGTTAATTAAGAAACGTTTCCCAAAATACGTTCACATTAAGATATTTTTTTTGTTTTCTCTTTTATTTATATCTTTGGGCTTTGTTTTAGTTGATCTAATTTTTTTGTCAATATTGTCAAACCAGTATAGTGCTGCCACCTATATTCCAAATTATGTAAACAGAGAAGTCGCTCTTTAGCCAAGACAATAATCATTTAAATAGCCGTTTGTAAAGCAATACTGTGCTTCTCAAACTGTAAACTAAAAGAGACCATTTGACTTTGAGACCATTGCTGACTTGAATGTAAAGATGATAAGGGATTTCAAACTCATCGAAATATTCATTGACTCAACAAAGTATATATATTCTTGACGAGCGTAAAATTCTTTATTTATGTCCGTCCTTATATCCGCCTTTGTTAATCACATTAGAGTCCAAACAGCATCTGATGAAACGGAAAACGGATTTTGCAAAGAGCTGTCTTTTGTCTGCAGGTAGGTCAAGTTCGAAGATGAGCTATATCGGTCAACTGTTTGCTATTGTCCCCATATAAATGTACTTCCAAAATTCGGCATTTTGACAATTTTAGTCTCAGTTTCAGTAAGGAGTTCTGTCGACTGTAGCAGGACATAGTCTATACAGGCTCAAATTTTGGATTAGCCCTCTAAAATTGTACCTTCCCATTTTCTGTGTGTTGATGATTTTAGCCTTATTTTCCAGAGGAGTAGCTTAAAATTCGGTATTTGGAGATCGTTCAAAGCTCTACCTACTGTGGCCGAACGTTGCCCATATAAGTCCATGCTTTCGTAAAGCCCAATATAATAGGTACAATTATATTATATCCTACACCACTACGTATATTCTGTAGAGCTCCCGTAACAAAAGAATTTATTTGAAGTAGATCATACCACCTATCAACCTTTGGCTTTAGAGCAGTTATAATTTATATACAGAAGGAACTAATATATCTGAGTCAATGTTTACCAAATTTGACGGGGACATTTGTATCAGTTATACCAACTAACTTTGTTATGGAGTGCATGATATCACTTCGAAGAGGATTATATTAATAAAATATATATCGCAGCCGAGTTCCACAAAATGGAAATTCACTCTATTTGGGCTAATATTAGCCATTATTTACACAATAAACTTGAAATCGGATTAAGGGTATATATGGGAGCTATATCCAAAACTTAGCCGATCTCGATAAAATTTGGCAAAGCTATTTCTGGTTTGTATCTGATATCTGGTACCAAATATCATTGTTGTCGAATGCATATTACGAATGTGAGGGACTTAAACACCAAATCGGATGAAACATATGGGATATCTGAACCGATTTTCACCAAATTTGATGTACTTTCTTCTAAGCTGAATTCGGTTGGATGTGCCAAAATTTAGGTAAATTGGAATTATACGGGTAATTTGGTGCACCATTAACCCGAAATCGTTTGAAGATATATGGGAGATATATTTCTATAGGTTTTGTCCTTGGGCCAATCAAATATTGTTTGGAAAATTGTATCTCTATCGGATAATAAATGCGACCTCTATTTTGTTCACAAGAATACATGAACAGACGGACAGACGGGCTGACATGCATAAATCGACTCAGAAAGTGATTCTATGAAGATCCTCAAAGTAACTATGGGTCTATCTCGCTTCCTTCCCCATGTTACACACAAATGCACAAAGACATAATACCCTTACCACGATGTGGTGTAGGGTATAAAAACTAACCTCTATCCCTTTACTGACATCACGTTTATCAGTATAAAAACAAAATATAATTTTTTTATTCATATAATTAATTTTTATTCGTTTTATTGTATAAAAAATGTACAATTTGTGTATTAATAGAAACGCCTTATATTAATAAAAACTTAATATAATTTTTCATGTTTTTTTTGTCTGTATAAAAAATATAAAAAAAATTCATAAAATCAAAAAAACAAATAAAAAATTATACATAAAGAATTTCGGGTCGAAAAAATAAATATTAAAAAACTAAACAAAGAAAATTAAAATTAATGTATATTTTTTGCGATTTGTGCAATTTTGCATTAAGCAGAAAAAGCTTCAATGTGTGGAGTACGTTTTTTACAATGACTTTCAAAGCTTTCTGAGCATTACAAATACCAAATTTCGTGGAAGCACCTAAGGATTTTGTTGTAGTTGTCTTCGTAATGATTAAGTTTAAGTTTTATGGAATTAAGGCCAAAAAGCTTTTCTTTTTTTGTGTCAATCATAAGCTTTCATTTAAGCACCTTGGCCCCATAAACATAACAACTGGCAAGATCGATGTTTGTGTGTGTGTTAGTGGAAATTTTTCTAAATTTTTGTTTCTCTTTTTTCATAGATGAGCTTAAGTTTAGAGCTTAAAACACTAGTTTTTGTTTAAATTAATTGACGCTTGAAGCTCACGCCAGCGCTCCATCCAAGGCATGAATGACGCCATTTGTGGCTGGTATGTTTGAGGTGATCATCTGGGCATCGTTGACCTTAATTTTGCCAGCTGAGGTCTTTTGCAAGATAACTGTTTTACCGGTCAGCAATGAGTCCTTGACTTGATAGAAACGCATACCAGCCGAGAACAAAGTTCCGGGAACAATGTGTTTCATGGCGAATTCTTCTGCCACCTCCTTGTCATTCATTAGTTTTTCCAAAGTATCCGATTCAAAGTCATTAAAGCTCTTGTCGACGGGAGCAAAGACAGTGTAGGTTTTAATGCCTGCAAGTAAATGAAATATGGATTTTTTTTCAGTTTCATGTGTCCTTTGATGGCGAATTTCGGGGTTACCTTTACTTTGCAATTTCTCAGATAAACCAGAGGTGTACAAAATCTTCAAGAATGTGGAGAAACGATTTTCTCTATCCGATTGTAGAGTCTGCAATAAATCGCCCACAGGTAAGGGGAACATAACACGATCGATGGCATGCGCAATGCCTTGGGGTATTTTAATGTCCTTTTTGTTGAGCACCACCATGGCTCCGTTGATGGTTGTTAGCTGAAAAAATCGAGGTTTTCAATTTCCGTATTGAGAAAGAATTCAAAACTATTTTAATTTACTGTAACATCATTCCATTCTTGGTCATGCATGTTGTATTGATTGACTCTCAATTGGGTACCGGCCAAAGAAACACCAGTCATCTCATCCTGCAGGGTGGCAATGTCAAAAGCTCCGGGGATAACGTGGTGCAATAAAAGCTGCAAAGAAAAATAGCATTTTAGTTTCTATCTATCAGATGACCTCACAATTAACTCACCCCACTTAGTAGTCTTGGATTGGCCTTGAATTTCTCTTCTGCTCTTTCCGGACCTCCTAGTTGCACCAACAAATTCTTGAAAGCTTTGTCGGTGGGCACGAATATCGTATAGGGTCCAGTTTCATTTAGAATACTATCCAATCCCGATTGTCTTAGATATTTGGCCATGGCAAATAATCCATTCGATTTGAGGATTTGTATTAAATCTTCACTGGCATTTGTCGTTGTCGTGGTGGAGCTTGAGCTGGAACTTGATCCTGAGACTGTGGTTGTTGTTGTGGAGGCTGTTGCTGAGGCCGGGCTACTCAAGGCCATGGAAATTGCCGATTGCGAATCAACATCTGAAGATTTTTCTTTGTGTTCAGTTTCTTCAACCAAAGTGTCGGTGTATTGGACAGCTTGCTGATCATCAACGGTTGTTTCGACATAATGTTCGGTGATGGGGTCATAGGGAGTTGAGGACACAACTGCCGGAGTTGGTGTACCCACTGTGGTGTAACGTGAGGCTGATGTTGGCCTGTACACAGCATGATGATCATAATGTCGAGTGCTGGCCCGATGGGTATAGGGTGCATGGGTGGTGGTTGAGGGATGATAGGCATTGGTGGTCTTGAAATTGTAATGATGTCTATAGGTTGTGGCCCTGGTGGCTGATGCTGGCTGTGGTCTGGGTGTGGTGGTAGTGGTTGTTGTTGTGGTAGTTGTGCTTGTTGTAGTTGGTGGCTTCTTGGTGGTCTTTACAATATTGCCCGATTCAATTTCCACCACTTCATCATTGGGCAAAGTCAAGCGGGTCACCGAGGGTGGCAATTTAATATCTCCGCTGCGTATGCGTTCCAAGATGCTTTCCACTTCAGCTCCTGTCTGTTTGGTTTCCTTTTCGCCATTGGCCTTTACTCCCTGGATTTTGAAGCTACCATCAGCCTGTTCTTCCAAATAAACATAGGTGGCCTTTTTCTTGGGTGGTAAAGTGGGTGCTGGCTTAGGTTGGGCCTTGGGTTTCGAGGGTGAACTCAAACCTTCAATTTCATAACCCTCTGGGATCAGACCACGTTTAGCTAATTCCTCTAGAGATGGTGGCTCATCGGAGTCCGACTGTATAACAGCAGTGCTGGCTATGCTATTGGCACCATTGGACACACCTTCCACACTGCCCCCGTACAGTGAGGCCAGACTGGAAAGATCTACACCACCTGGTAAGTTTTGTGGATCTACGGTCTCTTGTGGGTCGGGTGATCTTAGAATTTGTACCTTGCCACCGCCGGGAAGAACCAAATCTTTTTTGGTTTCTGGGGCAATATCGCTTAGACTCAACTTTCCACTGGAGGAACTACCTCCTCCCACAACAGCTTCAATGTTTTGATCACCAAACAAGCTTTGCAATTGATCATGGGTATAGGATTGCTGACCCTTGACCAAATTGGGATCAGTGGTACGGATAACCTGGACACGTTCTCCATTGGGCAAGACCAAATCCATTTCTTCGTAGGTCTTATTTCCCAATTCCTTTTGAGGTGTTTCCGCCAAGGCGGCCTTAAGTTGTTTCAAAAGCTCATCACGTCCGAAAGTTTTCACTGGTTTCTTGGCTGTTGTCTTTTGTCCATATTTACCCAATTCTGCTTTCAGTTGGCCATAGGCGGACTTGGAGTTGGTCTTGCTGGCTGGTGGGGCAGATGGTGTGGTTGTGGTTGTTGTAGTTGTTGTTGTCGTGGTGGTAGTAGTTGGGTGTTCCTTGTAGTATTGTTGGACAGCCGAGGCAAAGGAAGGTAGCTCTGATGGTCCTACGGGACGGCTACGAGGTGGATTATAGTTCACCGATTGTTGTTGATTGCTGTAGACTTGCTGCTGCTGTTGTTGTTGATTACCGCCAATTATGGTGGGTAAAACTTGCTGCTTAATAGTCTGCTGCTTGGCCACAAATTCGGCATGTTGTTGCTTGACCTTATTTTGGGATTTTTCGTATTGTTTCTGGACGAATTGTTCGTGTTTCTGGATCAACTTTTGTTTGTATTCCTGCTCGGGAGAGGCGGGCTGTCTTAAGTCAGGGAAAGTTTGAGGTCCAAATTGTTGTTGCTGCTGCTGTTGAATTTGTTGATGATGAAGTTGTTGCTGCTGCTGTTGTTGTTGGTTGTAGGTATTGACATTGACATTGGCTCTCAAATTGGGGAATATATTGGGTACGGGTATACCCAAGTTGGGAGTCAAGGCAAATTGTTGGTTTTGTTCAACCTGGGGTAACTTTTGTTGGGTCTGTGGCAAAAATGTTTGTTGGGTTGTCTGGAGAGTAGGTTGATGCTGTTGTTGCTGGAAGAATTGTGGTACGGTAGAGAAGGGAATTTGGGGTGCGGCATGAGTCTGGAATGTTGGTACTGGGGCCTGAATGGGCAACTTTTGTTGGGTTTGTGGTAGAATTTGTGGACCTATGGCAAAATTGGAAGTCGGCTGCTGTTGTTGGTAGGCTTCATTGGGCAGGGTGGAATATTGAGGTTGTTGCAAACCTGGCTGGGACTGGAAGGGTTTATTATTGTACGAACGTTGAGGGGGGCTTTGTTGGGGACCAATAGATTGGCTGGCAAAGTTTCGTAAAGCTAGGAAATTTTGTTGATGTAGATCAAGTTGGCCACCGGCGGCAGGAGGTTGTTGCTGTTGTTGGTGCTGTATTTGTTGGGGATGTTGGAATTGTTGGGGTTGCTGAGGTTGATAGTGATGTTGCTGCTGCTGTTGTTGTTGCTGTGGTTGCAGGGGAACATGCACTTGATTGTGGGTTGATCTCTGGAATTGTTGATTACCGCCATTGAAGGGATTGGGTCCCGATGCCGGGAATCGTTGATGATTTCTTTGCTGCTGGGTTTGTGGCAGTGGAACCTCAACACTGGGCGATTGTTGCAAGAAAAGACCTTGATTTTGTCTTGGCTGGGTATGATGTTGATGGACATCGCTCAAAATATGCTGTTGTACGTTCAATTGGCGACGGAAGTGATTGTGAAAGGGAGGCTGCAAACAAAGAGAGAGAAAAAAAAAACGATTAATAAGTGATATGGCGATTTTTTTTTGACACGTAACAGCTAATAAGAGGCTAAAGTAAATGAGTACCTTGCCTTAGGCTCGGTTTGTTTTGGATACTTGAATATGTTATCCAATCGTGGAGACACTTATGCGAACTATTTATACTACATAAGAGGGAAGGGACCCTGGGCAAAGAGAATTACTCATCATCGTAGGGTGGATTAGTTCAGGCTATATCTTTGGTATGAGCTCAGGTATCTGCTACTGTAGGATTTGTCAGATCGGAGTAGAGTTGAGAGATAGGAATCAACGATACGAAAGTAGATACTCAGAAGGCATCCTCTACTATTGAGAAATAAGTTTAGAGGTAATCTATAGCGGAGTAGATAAATTCATCTGTTATAGATTAGATTGTTTGAAAGGTCATCTGATGAAGGGTATGTGAGCTCATAGCATTGTAGATGATTTGAGAGATCATTAACTATGAAATATACGAGGTTAAAGGTCATACACTGTGGATTGTATGAGAAGATCATATTAGCTTAAAAGCCACTGGAGTCAAGCGTTATCTGCTGTGGAATAGTTGCAGTCTTTTTAAAATGAAGTCAGAGGTAGACTACTGGATTATATAAGCTCATCTATCATACAGCATGTGGATGAACTCAGAGACCTATTCGTGTAGGAGGATTTGGCTCCAAGGTTACTCCCTTATTGTTGCAGAAAAATTAGATATCCAGACAGACTTACGGCTGTTACGAGTACTGAATTGTTAGCCAGCACCTTATTACCCATAATTTGAGATTCACTCATTGCAACTTTAAGTGCGAATCTGATTGCATCATTTCGCCCCGGGGGGTTTGGCGACCATCGCACCACACAATATTTGCTAATCATTGGCCAGATGTCCAAATGACAAAAACTATTCAAACAACTCCATTGGAACAAAGACATAATTTGACGACGATCAAGACGACAACATTCATTCAACGGTTGACAAGCATATTTTTAGCAGGTTTTTTCGGATATTTATGGCTGGCCACTCCATTGAAATCAAGTACCAGACAGTGGATAAACAAACTGCCGCGCTTTAAACCAAAGTGAACACTTAGAAATGGACACAAAAGTGGGTCACACAATGCGTCAATGGTTCGTGGCATGGTAAATTGTCTTGTTGTTGGAAGCGTTTGCGTTTTAATGAAAGTAAAAACTCCATTGGAGGTTTTCTTTTCTTGTCTGCTTGTGGTGAACCAGTTTTTGGTTGTAGCAGCTAAATGTTGTAGTAAATATATATGTATCTCAGGCTCCATTGAAAAGATGACCAGAGTCCATAGCCATAGCTCTGCCATTCCAACCTTTCCTTATACGATGTATATATATTTTATATTTAAGAGGAGACCTGGACATGTTTTGTATGTTTCTGTTATGGAGTGTTATTGAAATGAAGACCCCCTGTATTTTGATTGTCAAAGTTAAGCGAATGGCTGCGTACATTGGCCTAGTTTTCTGCTGATGCTCAGTTAGATATGGAAACTGGATCGCAAAGCTGTCGAAATTACATTGGTTTGATCTGCTGTCATTGCCTTGGTTGGTTTTTCTTTTTGTAGGTTAATCAATTCAGGTTGTTTGTGTGCCAGGCCGCTGATGCTCAGTGAGCACCTGAGCAAAAAAAAAACGAGTGTTGGAAAAACATCATTGAATGCTGTGAGAAAAATTTGCACACAATGATGTGATGATGTGTGGCGGCAAAATTCGTTGACACACGAAGAAAGTAGAATTTATGAATAACATAATAACTTGACATACTCCATTTGAACTAGAATTGCTTAGATGTCACATGACATAGTCTAAAACATGGAATGTGAAAGATGGAGAGAAGTTAAACTTTTGGAAAATAGATAGAGTCTGAAAGGCCAGCTATTGTTGAAAATATGAGTTCTCAGAGGCCTTTTATTGTAAAACAGGTGAGCTCTGAGAACTCCTCTAAGGAAGCACAAAAGAGCTCACAGAGAATTTTTTCATGGAAAAGATGAGTTTTGTGGGACCATCTATCGTACATAGGGATACAGGTCACTTGTAGTAGAACAGATGAGACCAGATACCATATACACAAGAAGATACCTTAAAAATTCTGTTTCTGAACAAAAGATGGAGTGTTTTACAAACCAATAGTATTGACTGAATATTACGAGGAATATTTGAAAATGATAATCTTCAAACTTGAACCAAAGTGGGCTAATATACATATTTATTGTGCAGTTTTTTTAAAAACCCTATATACATGTGTGCTACGAAACAGGAATACGTGTTGTAGATTTCACGGAGTTAGAAAACTGAACAAAAGATGGCGTGTTTTACAAACCAATAATATTTGCCGAACATCTACATCATCTTGGAAATTTTGAAGCTTAAGGCCTCGAATATTTATAATGATAATCTTCAAACTTGAATCAAAGAGGTCTTAGACAATGAGACATATTTATTTTATAAAGATATTTTGAATATCCCATATGATGAAGATTTCCTGGAGTTAGTAAAACTGAACAAAAGAGGGCGTGGTTTGTTATTTGAGGTCAGACATTGTAGAATAAATGAATACATCAGGTCATCTACAGTATAATAGATTGTGTGGTTTTGGAAAAAAGAAATATTTGAAGAGGATATCCCAAAGATGTTGACTGAGCACACGATGGCGTGATCTAAAAACGGGAAAAGGTTATGGAGATATTCCACAACTTTTAAAAAGAACAAAAGATGGCGTGGCTTATCAACCAGCAATATTTAATGAAGATATTTTGGAAATTTTGAAATTGAGCAAAAAATTAAACCAATCGAGCTTGATTAACAAAACGTAAATATATTTTTTTTTTCAAAAATCCAAAAAGACGTGTGTCAAGAAACAAGAATATATGATGAAGCTATCCCGAAGATATTGGAACTGAACAATCGAGAGAGTGATTTATGAAATCAAAATATTCTATGAAGTTTTCCCAGAGATACTTTAATTGAATAAAAGAGGGCGTAATTGGAGAAAGAAAATGATGCATAATAAAACTAAAAAAAAGAGGTGTGAATTTTTTAAAACAGTTGTTGTATTCAATTAGGTTTGTCGCAGAATCTGAAACTGCACGGAAGATGGCGTAGTTTTGGAAACAGACGTGTTTGATAAAGATAGTCTGGGATATTGAAACTGAACAAATGGGGTTTGTGATTTTTGAAAACAAAATATTAGATGAAGATTTCCCGGAGGTACTATAATTGAATAAAAGAAGGCGTGATTTAAGAAACAGCTTGATGTGATAATACTATAACAAACGGAGGGGTGATGATTTCCCCAGGTGCTGAAACTGAACAAAAGATGGCGTAGTTTTGGAAACAGACATATTTGATGAAGATTTCCTAGTACATTGAAACCGAATACATGAGGGAGCGTTTTACAAAACATTCATATTCTTTAAAAAGTTTTCGGAAATACTGAAAATGAACAATAGAGGGCGTGGCTTTTAAAACAATCCTATTCAATGGCGATTTTCTGAATTTTCAAACTGATATGAAGATTTTTCTGTGATACTGGAACTGAACAAAACAGGTCATGTTTTTGAAACGGATGAGGAATTATTTGGAGCGGTTATACCAGATCGAAACTGAAGAGAATTCATTGATGGGGATTTACCATTCTTTCTAAAGAGAATCGTATGATGGAGATTTACCAGGACTTATTTTGTGAAGTAGAATTATTTGAGGACTTAATTTATATTAACGAAGTACTTAAACTGAATAAAAGATGGCGTGGTTTATGAATTAGGATTGTTTTATTTAGAAATACCGGGAATGCTAAAACTGAAAAAAGAGGGCATTGTTTTTGAAAAAGACTTGATGATTTATCGGGTATTCCTGTTAAAGATTTTCCGGAGAACTTGAAACTGAACAGAAAAGTGAAATTCAAGAAAGGGGATTATTCTATGACGATTTTCATGAGATTATGAAACTGAACCAAAGATGGCGCAATTTTTACAAATCATTGTTATTTATTTAATGAATTAATAAAATAGTTAAACTGAACAAAAGAGGGCGCAGTCTATGGAACAGGAATATTTAAAGGGTTCTGGAATATACATTAAAACATATCCAAATAAGGCGTGATTTATGAAACAGGATTAGTTGATTAATTTGTCCTGAATATTTTCATGTGTCTGGTCTTCCTTTTTTATTTTATTTTTTTATCCCATAAAATACATTTACATTTTATAGGTTGTGTTTTTACCCCATCTCAGTTGTGACATACCTTCTCTTGAACATTACTCTTACAATGCCAATGATTGTGGCACACATTTTTTGCCATTTACCTGCTAACACATTCCCATTAAGACATTATGGGAATTATTATTTTGAACAGCTAGAGCAGAAAACAGCTCCCAACAACGGCCATTGTTTTGAGTGTTTGAAAATAATTCCATAATTTCTAAGCATAAATTATCTCATCATATTACATATACGACTACATACATTTATGTCTTTAACATAAATATCTATTTAAAAGCAACTATTTTAATATGGTAATTTTTGTGTGGTTTGTAAATTTTCCACTTTGTAATCGGACAATTATCTCAGTGCCATGAGACTTTATAAAAATTGCAACTTCGCGATGACGGCGATGATGATGTGACTACTTTGGTTGGCCGAAATTGACTTGATGTTAACATAAAACATGTTAGCAATGGGAACACTGTGATTATGTGGCCATAAAAGTTTTTTGACCAGTTTTTCCACCACCAAAAAAAAAGTGAAAGGAATTCTTTGCAAAATTCGTTATGACAAAAAAAAACCTCAAGATGTAATTTTCATCATATCCATCGGTTTGAATTCTTTTGTGACCTGACCAAATGTCATTAATTTGTGTTGTGTGTTGCGCAAGCCACCAATCATCAAAATCAAACTTCTAGATTGTCCGAAAAATTATTGATAGGCATAGTTTGGTTAGGTGGAGGATG